GTGTGTGTGTGTGTGTGTGTGTGTGTGTGTGTGTGTGTGTGTGTGTGTGTATGTGTGTGTGTGTGTGTGTGTGTGTGCGCGCGCGCGAGTTGGCGTGAGCGGAGGCTTCGAAGCATGGGTATTGGTGTTGGCGGGCGCAGCCCCAGTGGGATGCACGAGCGCACGCAATTGTGATAACCGGCGGGCACGCAGTGTGTGGTTCGCAGCCTGGGCAGGGCCCCTGGTGCGCCTTCTCCTGCCTGTGCACGCTCGCATGCCCTCGCCCCGCGCCCCACCTGTTGGGTTGTGTGGCGTGTTGACCAGAATGAACTTGGTGCGAGAAGAAAAGGCCGCCTGCAGCTGCTCCTCCAGAACGCTCCAAGTGGGCGGCTGCAGCTGCACTGGCACCAGCGTGGCGCCAACCTGGGCGGCCATGCCCACGTACGAGTCATACAGCGGCTCAAAGACGATCACCTGGTGAGGGGGGGGGGGGGGGTGGCATCCAGGGCGTTTTCACAACAGTGGTGCGACGATGCGGGTTTGTGTGGGTCGACCAAGCAGGGGGGGGGAGCAAGCGCCGCTTTGTGCCTGGCAGTCATATGGATAGAAGCCGACCTCGAAGAAAGGCTCGATGCTTGGCGGCCTGTTTTAACTGTCACCAACTGCTCCAGCGGCATCCCCACCAACCGCAAAAAATGTGCCGGCACGCAGAAGGACCGCTGATCATGGTACTGGCGTGCTGTGCACCCACACAGCATGCAGCTGCCGCTCAAGAAGGCCGCCCACCTCGTCGCCTGGGTTGCACAGCCCCATGAACGCCGCCGCGATGCCCTCAGTCGCGCCGACAGTGACAAGCGTCTCAGTCGCCCAGTCGCAGGGTATGTCCTGCTCGCGCACGCTGTGCTGCGCAACCGCCTTGCGCAGCTCCGGCACGCCCATCATCGGCGGGTATTGGTTGTGGTGCGCAGTGAGCGCGTCTGCTGCGGCCGCCTTCATGCTGAGGGGCCCCTCCTCATCAGGGAACCCCTGGCCCAAGTTGACGCTCTGGTGGGCCACGGCCAGCTTTGACATCACCTGGCAGACACGAGTAGCGACATGCAGATCGGGCATGGACAGATCTGGCAGCAGAAGCTGGCCGTACGGTAGCTGCAGTCGCTGCTGTGCCAGCACCCGCCACGCTGGAGTTGCTCGCGCATGCAGCAGCACCCCCGGCAGACGCATCACACCACCCATGTGCACATTGTTGGGTCGTGGGCAACCTCAAAACGCTGGTGGCCTGCGTCCGCATTTCGATCAACTAATTTCAGAGGCTAGATCCTGTCTGCCATGGCGCACCTCAAAGACAGTCGTGGGCCATGTGCTGAAAGCAGCGTTGAGCGGCTTGGCAGCGTCGCTGTCCGCCGCAAAGCCGCCAACATTGCTGGGGCCAAGGCTACCCGTGCTGCCAGCAGCATTTACCACGAGCGTCCCCATGTGTCTGCTCCAGCCGTGCAGCCCAGAAGGTCGGAAAGGAGCGGCCTTGCGGGTCCGCGGCTGCCAGGTGCCTCGAGAGGTGGTGGTGCAGCTCGGCATACGGAGACCCCTTGCTGCTCTCCAAGGAACTGGGAATATCTTTGTGGTTTGTCACTCGTGGCTGTCACCCAGCCGTTTCATCACGTATCTCACACATATGCCTCAGAACCTTCGGATTTGTTGAGAGTTCCGTGTGATTGGTTCTATTGCATGATATAGAGGCCGCTTGTCGTCTCGACTGTACTCAGATCTCTCGACGGAACGGTCAACAGTTTTGGTGGGGGGCGCTCGATTGGCGCTTGATCAATCACGTATGACACAGTCATAAGCGGTTTTATAAGTTTGTCGAGGTACCACTCGCGAAGATGGAGATGACACAGTCCGCCTTGCGCGCCATATGCAAGGATCACAAGCTCTACAGGACGCCCGCGCTTAATGACAATTTGTATTGCAATCATAAGGGATTTGTACGCCTCGCCAACCTAGAGGAGTACTGCAACCTCAAGGCGCTGTACCTGGAGGGCAACGTGCTGCGCTCGCTCGAGGGCCTGCCGCCGCTCACTGACCTCAAGTGCCTGTGAGTGGGGCGCCCCTGCAGCATATAAACTTGAAACTCCACATCAAATGCAGGGACCGCTGCGGCGGCCGCTGGTCTGCTTGCAATGCGTGAAGCCAACCCACGAGAGACATGCACAGCTCGAACGCAAAGGCGCGCATGGTACACAGCACTTGCACGCATGACGCACGCCTGTAGAACAAACACATGCGCCTCACCATGCATGGTTTTTTTGATGTGCATTCGCACCCAGGTGCCACTTGCGCCGACATGGTCTTGCCAGCTGCGTGCGCGCGCACGCGCACACACATATATGCAAACTCACGCCCTGCCTTCGGGACCCCATACACCATCCAGGTTCGTCCAGCACAACTGCCTGGTCACCCTCGCCGGCATTGAGAACGCGCCCGGGCTTGTGTCCCTGAACGTCAGCAGCAACGGCCTCGCATCCCTCGACGGCCTCGCCGCCTGCCCCCACCTCGCGTCCTTGGTGGCGGAGCACAACACCCTCGGGCCCCTCGAGGCCCTCGAGCCCCTGGCCGCCTGCCCCGAGCTCCAGACGCTTGACCTGCAGCACAACGAGATCTCCGACCCAGAGATCGTCGGCCTGCTGCGCCGGCTGCCGGCGCTGCGCTGCCTGTACCTCAAAGGCAACCCCGTAATTGGGAAGCTGCCCAGCTACCGCAAGGCGCTGATCTCGGCGCTGCCGGGGCTCACCTACCTTGACGACCGCCCCGTATTCGAGGAGGAGCGGCGCTGCGCTGAGGCGTGGTGAGCCAGAACGGCCCGCGGCAGCGGGGCGAAGGCCGTGGGTGGCGGGGCGCAGACACCATGTTTGGAGAGGGTGGGTTGCGCCGTGCGCATGACATGGCATGCTACGCTGCGATGTCGCACTGCGCTGCATTGCCGTACTGCACTGCAACCATGTCGCGCCTACCGTGCCATTCGCCATGATACCCAGGGCGCGCGGCGGCGTCGAGCAAGAGCGTGAGGAGCGGCAGCGCTGCCGCGATGAGGAGGCGGCGGCGCGGCGGCGCAACTTTGAGTGGATGCAGGAGCTGAGGCGCTCAGGCTTCCGAAAGGTGGGCGGGGGTGTCTGCCAGCGCAGGTGCAGCTTGTTGCTCTTTGCAACTCGCATGCCCGCCCCCATGTGTGCGTCACCCATGACGAACGCGCCAGGTGACAACCTGCATGACCTCGTGGCTCAAAACGTCCCAATTGCGCCTGCGCGCTTGCTACTGGATCCCTACGCAGCGCCGCGCCATGCTGGGCCTGCCCCCGGGCGACACTGACCCTTTGCTTGATGACATGAGCGACGGCGAGCCGGACTTTGAGGAGCCCATGGAGCTGGTGGACGCCCGCGCAAGGCTGGCAGAGCTGGTGCACGCGCGCGGGGGCGAGGCGCTGGCAGGTGCGCGCGGGAGAACGCGCTTGCAGATGCGCGCGCACGCCGCGCGTGCGCCTGGTTTGTGAGTGGTGAAGTGCATGTCTGCGCGCTGTCGCACATGGCACAAGGCCGCTCAAGATATGGTTGCCGCGCACACAGTGGGCTTCGGTTGGCGATCAGAGCAACTTGGCGCCTGCACGGCTCGCCATCCGAACCCCGCAGACCCGGCGTCAGCCGCTTTACTGCAGGCCGCCGGCGCGGGGCGCGGCGACGACGCGGCCGACCAAGGGCCTGTTGTTTCTGAAGCCGCCGCTGTTGCCGGTCACGAGGAAGACGACGCGCGGGACTACTTTGCGTCGGTCAGGGAGTGCCAAGCGGCGCTCGACGCCGGCGGCCCCGCCCTTATGGCTTCCGCCCTGGGGGCAGTTCCGCAGCTGCCGGCGGCGCGGGCTGCGGGCGGAGCGGCGGCGGCAGTGGGGCTTGCTGTCGGCATGGCGGCCAGCGACAGCGAGGGCGACGACACAGTGCCGGCGGCGCTGGCGGGAGCAGGGGCTGCTGTGGGTGCTGTCGAGCCAAAGGAGCTGGGAGAGGAGGAAATTGCGGCACAGCCACTTGATAGGAAGTCGCCTGCGGGCAAGCTGGTGGCAGATGGCGCGCATCCGGATGGCGTGACCGCCCTTGCAAGCGGCGCATGGGGCAGCAGTGACAGCGAGGCCAGCTCGTCGGGTGATGAGCGCGAGCAGCAGGCAACAGCCGACGCCGCAACGGCCATGGGCGGCCTTACGCCGGAGACCAGCCAGTGCACAGGGGCTGTGCTGCCTGACCCAGTTGCAGAGCCGCAGCCGCCCAGCGTGGCGGCGGCCCTGACAGATTACTTGCCAAATGGGGAGGCCGGGGCGCCGCTGGAGGGGACGGCGGAAGCGCGGCCGGCCGGCATGGAGGCGGTGTGTGTGGCTGGAAGTGAGGAGGGCGCTGTGGTGGCCCCGGAAGATGTGCATCTGGTTGGCTGCGAAGATTTGGAGCCTGAAGTGCCTTGCCAGCAGGGGCTGGGGGTGTTGGACCTGCTATCGCTCGACTGAGCGAGCCATGCGGGCTGCGCGGCGGGCCTCACGGCCGTGGTGCAAGGGGCCTTGGTCTGAGCACAAGCGGTGCTATCAAAATGGTCGTCTCTCAAGCAATCAGTAGCAGGCCTGTACTCAGGAGCTTGGTGCAGCTGCGCTTGTGCTCAAACCATTGGATACAGTTGGGCATTTGCCTGACGCACATGCGGCAGCACGAAAGCACCCCAATTGCAGCCGTGATCTGATGCAATGCTGATGCAATTGACATCCCATAGTGTATCCGCTTCCATCATCTGTGGGTGCGTGTCAGGCGAGCTGTACAACGATACAGTACAAGTGCCCCAGCTGTGCTGCAGGGGCTGGTTCCAGTCAGGTGCCGACCTCATAGAAGTGCTACTGTAAGCCTCTTGTTAAACTAGGTGGTAGCGAAAATCAAAGGCGCCGCGTTTCTCCGCTGGTAACCCGCGCTGTTTTACTAATTCGCTGCCAGCACTCGGCCACACCGTGCATCCGCGTCCCGTTTGGACCGCCAGCTCCAGGTCATAGACAGGTGAAGAGGTTAGCAGATTCTCAGGCGACCCACCTTCTACCGTATAGGGGAACTTGCCACGGCCACGCAGTGACACCCTTCGGCACACCGCTCACAGCTCGGCTGCTCCCCTCCCAGCATCGCAGAAAATAGGCAAGAACATGCCACCATTCATCACCGTCCTAGCCTTGGCAGCTGCGGCCATGCTACTCGCCGCAACGTGTGCGCGCGCCGCGAAGGCCGACTGCAGCAGGCTGCCAGGCTGTGAGGCCTGCCGGGATATGACCGAGGCGGAGTGGACGGCAGCCAGAAAGGCGTGGATGGCAGCTAAGCTGATGCCAAGCGCAGCTAGTGTTGCGCAGAGGCCCAGCTCGGCGTCAGCATCAACGGGAAACGTCCGCGGCGTTGTAACGCCCGCAGCAACACCCGAGGCGGGGGCACTGTCCAATGGCACTCCGGCCGCAAAAAGGAAGGCAGACGAACCGGTTGCGTCAAAGAAGCAGACGGACGCCTTGGCTGATGCTGCCCCGCCAACGGCGGACCAGGCAGCGAAGGCAGCCAAAAAGTCACCGGCTGCAGCAGTGGACACCAAGGCGTCAAAAGGAGCAGTGGACCAGACACCGCCTATCAAGACGCGAGACGAGGTGGCGGCGGTGGCTGCGGAAAACGAGGATTTGCCAAGCAGGCGCTCAAACAGTGATGCGCCAGGCGGCCCTGGGGAAGAGCAGGTGGGAGATGGCAGTAATAAGGACGGGTCCGCATCGGACGCGGCGACGCCGCAGGGCGGCAAGATGGCACCAGAGAGCCGCAAAGCTGCGCCCGCGCTTGTCGGAGAGGGCGGCCAAGGCGCCGCCGCGGGCGCCACCGCCGCCACGGCCGTGCCGCGAGGCACTCCCAAGCTTGTGGAAGCGGGCAGCGGCCCTGCGCAAGGGAGGGGAGCGACCAGCGGTCAGGCGGCGCTCCCGGGCGGGGCGTGGGCGACGGAGGGCAGCGGCTTTCAGGATGGGCAGTCGCCGGAGGCAGCTAGTGCACACAGCCGCGGCGGGGGGGCACCCCCCGGGGGACGAGCTGGGGCTGGCGGTGCCCCCTCGGCGACACAACAGCCTGGGGTGGCGACGACGTCATCAGATGCAGGTGCACAAACGGCACCAACGGCGCCAGCAGCCACGCAGCAGGGTGCAGGCGCCAAGGCCAAGGGGTCAGTGTCGGGCGGCGAGGGCGCACCTGGCGGCGGCCCAAGCGAGGGTTTGCGCCGCAAGCTGGCTGAGCAGCGCCGCGTGCCCATAGACACTGCGCCGGAGCCCCTCGCGCACCGGCGGCCACGAAGCAGCTTGAAAGCGGTGCTAGAAGCGGGAGACAGCAAGGAGGCGCGCCCGGCGGGCGGCAGCGAGAGCGGCAAGAGCGGTGGCAGCGGCGGCGAGGGCAGCGGACGCAGCAGTGCTGGTGGCGGCGGGGGCAGCGCCACAGCAGGCGCCCTCAGCAGCAGCGCCCCTGGCCGCGGACGCGGCAAGTTCTCAGGCCCGGCAGCAGGCGGTGGCCGCGGCGGCAATCCCACAAGTGGCGTCTCCGCCAAGCTTGACTTGTTCAAGCCAACCAACAGGCCGCCCATAAAGTGCACCAAGTGCAAGTCTCCTGAGTATGAGCTCAAGGACAATCGATGCGGTGAGCAGTGTGTGAAGATGGGATGTGTATGTTTCTATGGGAGCGCATGCATTCATGCGCACGGGTCCCAGTGTGCATGCGCACATGCGTGCATGCACACGCTTGCCTGGGTGGATGCGTGTGTGTCGGGGGTGGAGGCGGGGCACACCTGTGCGAGCACGAGTCGAAGCGTTTGCGCATGCTTGTGTGCATTGTCCATGCGGAGCTGCTGCGCTGTCACGGTCTTCGAGCGTTTAGCCTGCGACTTGAGTGGGTACCATGCAGCACCGCCGCCTCCTGCTCTTACAGGCAGCCCTCTGAGCGTGCGTGCTTGCCCTCCGTTCCGTTTCGCTCCACACACAGTGTGCACGTCCGGCAACGGCTGGCAGATGGTGCGGCCCAACGACCCCAACATCAGGGTCATGCCTGTCTGCAAGACTTGCCCCCACGTGAGCGGGGGCTTTCGAGCTATTGGTCGGCCCGCAAGCCAGCCATGTTGCAGGTGCTGTATCACATCAAGCGAGATGCAGGCAACCGCCTCCTGCCCACCACTTGGTGACAACCGCCAGGTGCCCTCAAAAAAGCAGTGGTGCTGTACCAGCACTCCAGTCGTGCTTAAGGAGTCATCACCCACCGATGCTTTTTGCACGTACTGCAACCCAACACCCTGATCACCCCCAGGGCTTTGCATCCGGCGCCGGGGCGCCAGAGCCGCACGGCCTCGGCAACCACCTGAGCTGGAAAACGCGGCTGCAGAAGCACGGCGCAGTGTGCGTCGCCTGCCCCAGCAAGAAGAGCAGCGGCGACCGCAAGAAGTGTCTGGCTACTTGAAAAGGTGCCCTGGAATCACGCCCACACGGGGCTGCTGTACTGTCAATTGCCCCAGCCCTTACTGCATTCCAGCAACATCAAAAACTTTGCGGGGGGCTTCACTGCCATTCTTTCATGGCCTGTGGGCAATACACAACACTATTACCATCTTGCTTTGGACAGGATGGTCGCGCCGTGGGCGCCTGCAGGAGTCGCAGCCAGCAGCTTCAGTGCAACTCCGCTGCATCCCTGTCAAGACATGATGGGTGCATGTATATGTGATTGATTGCTAGTCAATATGCACTTGCGACCTCGTTTGCATTCTTGCAGCATGTGTTTTGATCTGTAACAGCAGGCCTGCCAACTGCTGGTCGCCAGGTTTGAAGCTGCGTGTGCTCGATTTCTGGATCAGCAAGCAAGCATTGGCATGTTGCCTGTGGACTGCAGCACACCGGATTGCGATTGTGGGTTAACTGTGGGTTGCTGGCCGCCCGATCAGCAACCCAGCAACCCTGATGGATGGCGGGACAAGGACAGCAGCATAACATCATGACAATGACAATTCTGTACAAGATTTCATGAACTCCAAACCTGAAAGCTCCGGCTGAATCACGACCAGGCGCTCGAGTGCGCTTTGCTGCTGTGCTGGCTGGCGTTGGTCACCCAGAACTGGCGCTCGCACCCGGTGTACCAGGGGCCGCAGCGTGATGAGACCATGAACGCGATTGTCAAAGACTGATACTAGGATTCATTTCATGTCGACCAACATGCTATAGGGACGCAGGCTGGTGCTCGCTTTTGCACTACTGAGGGGCACTGTTCGGCCCACACCCAGGCGTATAGCCATCACACAGCACATCTCCGACATACCAGATGATTATGAATAGCTTCGTAACCCTTTTATCATCCGTGATAGTGTTGAAGCCAGCCCTGTAGGTCGCATCACCGATGTGGCTAGCTCTGCATCACTATGGAGACTCGCAGCAAGCGTAGGCAGCAGGAACAGGAACAAGAACAAGAACGAAGCAGCAAGCGCGCCAGGAGCGCCTCAAAGGAGGAAAGCAAGCCCAGGCCCAGGTCGCGGGCCAGCAAGGAGCCTGCCGCGCCTGCCTCGGGATCTTCTAAGCCGCGTTCAACCCGTAGTGGGCGCGCGCATAGGGAACAGGCCCCTCAGGCGCCCGCGCCTGAGCACCAGATCGCCGAGGAGCCCCCTGCGGCCCAGCCTGCTGCCCCATCGGCCCAGGAGAAACCCATGGACCGCGCGGGTCGTCGCTCCTCACGTGGGGACCCTGCCGAGGCAGGGCCGTCTGGCGGTGACGAGGTGCGCGTCGAAACCTTGCATCGCGCGACACTGCGCGCGCCTGGCGCGCTGGCCGTTGCCTCTGGGCCTCGGACCTGCCTCACCCAGTGTGCACAGCTGACCTTGCGTACGTCTTTGTCGCTGCAGGACCCCGGGGACGTCTTCGGCCGCAACTTTGCCGGCGCAAGCAGGTTTGCAGCATGCCTCACGTGCATTGCAGGACGCGTCCGCGCCACGCTGCCGATTTGCCACCACCACCACCATGACGTTCTGCATCTGCAGCAACCATGTTCCGCATACTCACTCTCTGGCGTTGACGGCCCGGCAGAGCGCGCTGCGGTGGTGGCTGGCTTGCGTGACGCTGGGCTGCGCATGGCTTGCCCTGACCGTTTCCGCTCCCCACCCTCATGGCACCCACCCTCGTGCAGTGCGCTGCAAGGGCTCTTGCGGAAGTTGGGAGCGGGCTTTGAGGACATCATGTCTGGCGGCCACACGGGGTCTCGGATCAAGGTGGGGTTGCAGTGGGCGGCTCATGCACGAAGGGGCCTGTGCCGTGCAGGTGCATGAGATGCCTGTGAGCTGCACTGAGCATGGCCTTGCGCTTGCCCACCTCATTTTAATCTCCCAGGCTGAGCTGTCTACGCCGTACTCAGCCGCGTGGTTGCTTTCCAAGGTGTTGTCGCACCCAAGCCTCTTGCGACGCTTGTGTGTGCACTCATCCTTTCCTTACCAGTGCCGCCCGACGCCCTGCCCCCTCCAGGGTATCCTCTCAGGCCTGCGCCAGTTTGAGGACGAGGGCGCGCAGCTGTCGGCGCTCACGGAGCTGTCCGAGCTGCTGTCCATCAGCCAGGAGGAGAGCCTCGCAGCGACCATGCCCGTGGAGCAAGTCGTGCCGCTGCTGGTGGGCGCATCCGCGCGGGCAAACGGGGCAATGCAACGGCCGTGCGGGCAAACGGGGCGATGCGGCGGTCGCGCGTGCGCGTTTGGGGGGCCTCTGCATGGATGTTGCTCGGAGCATGCAGTGCAGCTGCCACGCCAAATGTTGTCACGGCACGTCCTGCGGCCATGCATGCGGCCATGCAACCACCTGATGATGGCCTCCGCCCTGCTCTTGGTCGGTCCGGCTGCCCCCCAGGTCCAGCTGCTGGGCATGGAGCACAACCCGGACATCATGCTGCTGGCGGCGCGCTGCCTGACCTTCATGGCTGACGTCATGCCTACGTCATGCAGCTCCATCGTGCGCCACGGCGCCGTGCAGGTGGGCGGGGGGACGGCGGCGGGCCGTGCGTCGCGTCGGCCTTGAGATGACGTGAGACTGAACTGATGGGGTGATTGAAAAATCATGGGGAACAATGCTGAATGGGGGTGGTGGATGCATGCCTATCTTGCTATCTGGCGGCAGGGGTCTCCTGCCGCCCTACACTGGGTGGAGGCACCCAGAAATGATCCTGATAAGCCACGGCTCGCGCGGCTTCAAGGGCAGTTTCGCACCCTCCTCCCCTTGAACAGCTCCCCTTGGACCGCTCCCCTTGGACCCCTCCTGGCCGGCCCCTTTGCACCTCTGGCTGCTGGCCGGCGCGTCATACACCCTGCACACATGCATGCGCGCGCGCGCACACACACACACACACACACGCACACACACACACACACACACACATGTCCCGGCCTCCTCCCCTCACAACACCTTGCCCCCTGCCCCCTCCGCCACGCCCCTCCCCCAGGCCTTCTGCGCGCGCCTGCTCAACATCGAGTACATAGACCTCGCGGAGCAGAGCCTGCAGGCGCTCGACAAGCTCTCCAACGAGCACCCCGCCTCGCTGCTGCAGCAGGGCGGCCTCACCGCCGTGCTGTCCTACCTCGACTTCTTTCCAACGGGCGTGCAGCGTGTCGCGGTCGCGACGGCGGCCAAGATGTGCGGCGCGCTCGCGCCGCAGCACGCGGGCGCGGCGCGCGACGCGGTGCCGCTGCTGACCAACCTGCTGCAGTACCAGGACGGCCGGATCGTCGACTCGGCCTGCGCCGCGCTGTGCTGCGTCGCCGAGGCGTTTTCCGGCGACGCGGCGCTGCAGGGCCTGCTGCTGTCGTCGGGCGCGACGGGCCAGGCCGCGCAGCTGGTCGCGCTCAGCGGCGCGACGGGCGGCATGGCGGCGCAGCTGTCGCTGGGGACGTACTACGGGCTCATCCGCCTGCTGGCCACCTGCGCGGCCGGCAGCCCGGCGGTCGCCGAGTCGCTGCTGCAGGGGCCGCTCGTGGACACGCTGCGGCAGCTGCTCGCCGGCTCTGCGATGCTGTCGTCGGCAGCCGGGCAGGCGTGCGTGCTGCGCACCGCGGACCAGCTGTCGGAGGTCGTCGGGCTCGCCGCCGCGCTGCTGCCGCCGGTGCCCGACGCGGCGGCGGTCATGCTGCAGGGGCTGCCCTCGCGCCCGCCCGGCGGGGGCGCCGGCGGCGCGGGCT